ACGCACACACACACACACACACACACACACACACACACACACACACACACACACACACAGAAATGCATTGGAAATGCATTTGCTACAAAACATCTCATCGCAAGCCTGACCTTTGGCTTCACAGTCCCTGAAGGAGACAGATCCTTCATATTTGGTCATTAGGCCTCCTCCACATGGAAAGCACAGAACCCTTCCCGGCTCAGGCTGGTAAGAGCCAATCGGACAAGGTTGGCATGGGTGAAACCCATCAGCAGAGAACCGACCTGCAGGACACTGACCTGTAGGTTAAAAAAAAACAAAAACAAATTAAAACAACTTTCTTTATTCTCATTTTCATCATAATTCATCTTTATTTATATTTATATGTATCTCTAATTTGGCCAGCTTTAATAAACAGTAAAATACCTAAATTCTGCGTGTCGTAATTCTGTATAATAATTGAGCATACGACATTGATTAGTGAGTCGACATAATTCAATGAGTATGTGGGGGCGGCGTGGTGTTCATCTGCAGGACGGGAGGTGTGGGAGGGTTCAGGAGAGTAGCACACCTACAATCAGTTGGCTAATCACTCTCCCCTTTTCAAAAACAGCAGCATGCTGGACCTGGGAGGAAGGACCACCAGGACCTCTAAGCTAAGGAAAACACTGTGTGTGTGTGTGTGTGTGTGTGTGTGTGTGTGTGTGCGCGCGCAAAAGAATAAAAAGACCAGAGCACTGGTCTTTGAGAGTCTGTTGAGGCAACCACGGTGGCTGAAACTGCCACAGAGTAGTTTGTTAGTTCTTAATATGGTTGTTGGATGTGTTAGCTTTAAGATATAATACTGTGATATACTGAAGTAGGAAAAAGTTGCTTTTCTATGAATATATAAAATTATATAAATATTATAATATATAGGCCATAGGCTGAAGCCTGTATCGTTCAAGTTCGCTCCACCTATTTAGGGAGTACTAAATGACACCTGCAAAAAAATCCTTAGTGCATTTTGAGCTCATAACCAAAAGTTCTCCAATCGCTTTGCGCCAGTATTTTTACAATAATTACTTAAAAATGTAACTATATCGGTAGCCTGATCACACCGGTAAACTACGGTCGAATCAAGCCGCATAGCCGTTAGCCAATCAGAGCGCGTCCTTCAGGTGCGCTCTCCCATTCAGAGGCGAGAACAGAAGAACAACAACAAACATGGCTGCTCCCGTGGAGCAGCGTATTCCCGTTGATCAGACAAAAAACGCAAGAAAAATGAGGATTATATATGCATCACACACATATAATCGGTAGACAAAGAACGGACACAGCCACTAACAGTTGTTCGTGGAAGAAGCTGGTCGTATGTGCCCGTAAGTGGCTAGAAATTGACGGAACACACGTTGGCGGAGGAACACAAGACAAAGAAAGGTAAATTGGTCCAAGCAGAAACTATAAATACTGGTGATTAGATAATTGGCAGACAGCATCTTTGTTTGTGGCTTATAATCAAAAGCAAAAGTAATACATTTGTTGGTAAAAAAAAAAAAAGCATGTGTAATTGGTGCCAGCCCAAGCCTACTCACATCATTATGAAGTAGATGTATGAAGGTTATGTGTAGGGCCTCAAAAATAATACCAGGCATTATTATGAACTTGAAGTGATGATAGCCAATTAATTGATTCGTTAAATAATGGTTAGATTTTAAATTTCTCACCCAACTACCAGTTCAGTCTGGTAAAACAGAGAAAAGGTATTTGATATTATTTGTTGGCAGCTGGTTTATGATTGAACTCTCTTTGCTAGTTTGGAGTTTGGTTAAAGCAGCTGAAGTGAAAATGGACGATTCCATCCTCAAGGATCTACGTGGAAAAGATTGTGTCACAATTGAAGTGCGGTACCACAAACGGTGCTACAAAGAAAGTTCAATTCAATTTTATTTATATAGCACCAACAGTTGTCTCACAGCGCTTTCCAAACAGAGCAGGTCAGACCTACTCTGAAGTTAATTACATAAACCTAACAATTCCCACTATGCTAATGTTCATGTTCATACATTTGGCAGACGCTTTTATCCAAAGCGACTTACAGGGTAGGGAGGAGCTGTATTGGCCGGGAATCGAACCCAGGTCAACTGCTTGGAAGGCAGCTATGCTAACCACTACACCACCACTCCTCTATGAGCAAGCACTAGGCGACACAGGCAAGGAAAACTTCCTTTTAAGAGGAAGAACCATGAACCATGGCTCGGGGGGGGCCATCTGCCTCGGCCGGTTAGGGGTGAGGGGAAAGAGAGGGCAAGAGAGAGAGAGAGAATTTGAATTTTAACAATACATTTATTAAAAGGTTTTAAAAGTTACAAAAAAACTGCCATGAAACGGCATTCAGTAAATCAGGATTTACAGAAAACAAATTAACCTAGGATAACTCCAAAAAAAAGCTCTTCATTTAAATGCCAGCACAGAACATTTTTCTGACACCACAATTTGGAAAAGCTTTCCAGGTCCTTCATCATGTGATAGAAATTAAAATTTATTTTCAGACGGGCTTTCACCATCTTTTTAAAAACGAGCACAGCATAGTCATCCACAGCTTTTTCTATTCTGTTTTTCCTGCTCATATAAACAGCTATCTTTGCTCTTCCCAGGATGAAATTAAAAAGCTGGCATTTCATTTTTTCCTTTTGAGAGTACCTGTACCCTAAAATGAACACGTTTTTAGAAAAACCCTCTCCAAATAATTAAAAAAAATGTTCTAACATGGTAAACAGTGGCAGCAAACGAGAACAGTCCAAGAAACAATGAAACACAGTCTCGCGATTAGTGCAAAATGGACAGTCCTGGCTAACATCAGAGTTGATAGTAGAAATAAAAGCATTCACAGCCACAATCCCATGTAAAATCCTCCACTGGAGGTCAGCTACTCGCTTAATCAGTGGTGGTTTGTACAGCGCTCTCCACTCAGGCCCAACACTGTCACTGAGACCCAAGTGAGCTCTCCATGGAGTATCAGCTCTGCCGTTCAATTTGTCCCTCTGCAAAATCTTAACAAAAGTTTTATAGATCAACTTACCGTTTATATCTTTAAAGGAAAACACAGAAGAGATCTCATTTTTTAAAAAGGGCCCAATGCAGTCCTTAAAATCTGGGGAAATATTCACTGTAGGGAAAGCATCATTCTCATCCGGTGCAACAGAGCCATCACAATAAAGACGTAACAAAGTCCTCTCACTAGCAGTGAGGGCTTCTCTCAACTTACTAAGCAGAAGGGCAATGACACGAGTCGAATGCACATCCAGTCTGGAAGCAAGAGAAGCTGCATCGTCCAAGCCTGCTCCTACAAGCTGGACTACATGTCCCAGATTCACCACCTTAGACATACAGAACCGCCTGAGTAGAGTTGGCCCCACCTGACAAACTGTACTGAACCGCGACCCATAGACGACCGGTTCCCGTAGCAGCCAGTACAGGGAGCTGTGGTGTCCCAGCCTCCTCTTCAAGATCATATTCCACACTTTGAATAGTCCACGGTAGAAAGCAGGAAGTTCTTTAATGTTAGGCTGCTTTAAGTCCATCAAAAACGACGATTTGTTGAGTCCAAGTCCACCTAACCGATTCAGGATAGCGCAAGCCAACGGCCTCCACACCAAATCAGTTGGACCACACAGAAACCTCTGTATGAACTGGAGCCGGAAAGCAGCCCCCCTGCTGCTGAGGTGGATCAGGCCCTGTCCTCCATCGTCCTTAGGCAAATACAGCACACTCTGCGGCACCCAGTGCAATTTGTCCCAGAAAAAGTCCACAAGGAGAGCCTGGATCTTCGACAGTAGGTCAGGTGGGGGGTCAACACATAACAAGCGATGCCATAACGTGGACGAAACCAAATTATTAACCACTAACACTCTGCCTCTGTAATACATCTTTGCCAGAATCCATTTCCACCGGGTCAAACGACCCTTCACCTTATCCAGAACATTTTCCCAGTTTTTTAAGCCAAAAGATTGATCGCCCAGAAAAACTCCTAAATATTTAAGACCCCCCTTCTTCCAAATTAACCCCCCAGGCAGTGTCAGTTTCCCCAGGTCGCCACCAACACACAGAGCTTCACTTTTGTCCCAGTTAACTTTGGCTGAGGACAAGGTGCCAAACTGAGCCACATCTCTCACCAACATGTCAATGTCCTTCTGAGCATTCACCAGGATAATAAGGTCATCTGCATAGGCCGACAGCTTCAGAGGTACATTGCAACCCGGAATGACCAAACCCTGAAGGTCACGTCTGAGTTTATGCAGCAATGGTTCAAAAGCTAAAGAATACAACATGCCAGAGAGGGCACACCCTTGCCTAATTCCCCTTTGGACCTGAAAGGGAGCGCTCAAACCACCATTAATCTTTAGTACGCTCTGAATGTCACTGTAAAGAACCTTAACTTTGTCAATAAAACCAGTACCAAAGCCAAAAGCACTCAAAGTGAGCCATAGGTAATCATGTTCAACACGATCAAAGGCTTTTTCTTGATCAATAAATATGATCCCAGCTTTCAAGCCGTAGATCTTGCAGATTTCTAAAAAGTCTCGAATCAAGACAATATTGTCAGAAATCAATCTGCCCGGTACACACTAAGTCTGATCAAAATTAATCACTTTCTCCATCACTTTGCTCAGCCTTGTCGCCAACACACAAACGCCCTTTAGCAAGACTGTCACTCAGTACTGCCAGCAGATCCTCCCCCACTACTGCCCAGAGAGACTTGTAGAAATCTGCAGGTAGACCGTCCATACCAGGAGCTTTCCCACTCTGCATACTCTGCAGAGCTGCGTAGAGTTCGTCAGAGGACAGAGCTGCTTCCAGCTCTATGTTGCTCTGCTGCTCCACCTGAGGAAGACCAGTGTAGAAGCCCTGTGACACTGCCTGCTCCTCTCTGTGCTCGCATTTAAACAGGTTGCTGTAAAAAGTGACGGCGTGTTTACGAATAGCTGCGTGATAAGTCAGCATCTGCCCAGTGTTGTCCTTCAGACTGTGGATTAACCTTTTCTGTCCATTTATACGCTCCAGACCAAAGAAAAAATGAGATGGAACATCCATGTGGGCCACGTGCTGAAAACGGGACCTAACAAGAGCCCCCTGAGCTGAGACACCCAGCAAGCTGGCTAAAATAGACTTTTTAGTTTCAAGTCTCTGAGTGTGGCGTTGGTCTCCTGTGGCTTCAAATAGGTCTCTGAGCTCCTCCACCTCAGACTCCAGAGCCCTAACTGAACCCTCCAAAGCTCTCGTGACATTCTGCGTGTATTGCTGACAAAACTGTCGAATCAGAACTTTACCAAAATCCCACCATTGTTGTAAAGAGATAAAATCTGATTTTTTGTTCTGATGGTTTTTCCAAAAAAACCCAAACGTATCTTTAAAATGCTTATCCTCCAATAGAGCTGTGTTGAAATGCCAATAAGCACTATTGGCTTTTACACACCTTATAAATACAGAGACCAGTGAGTGATCAGAAAAACCAACTGGGCTGATTACACACCCTTTAAAAATGTTTAAGTGATGTTTAAAACAATAAAAACGATCGAGTCTGGCCATAGACAGTAAATTGTCTTTAGCGTGAGTCCAGGTGTACTGTCGCTGTTCACCATGTAAAACTCTCCACACATCACACAGCTCTTGGCCTTTTAGAAGCTGAATAAGGCGTGTGCGAGAGGCGGCATGAGGTTCTGCATGGTTCCTATCTAACCTGCTGTCCTCAGTACAATTAAAATCACCCCCAATAAATAAATATTCCTCACTGCTACATTTTCCAATAGCTTTATTCAAGGCGTCAAGGAACATGACCCTCTCCACTCCCACAACTGGAGCATAGATCGTAATAAAAACCATTTTTACCTTCTCATACACGGCTCTTACTTTCAACACGCGGCCTTCTATGACCTCCTCAGTTTCTACAGATTGAGGAATAAAATTCTTTGCAACGAGAATCCCAACCCCACCACTGCTACTAGTCTTATGGCTTAAGAGGGATTCACCAGCCCATTCTCTCCTCCAGTCTGCCTCATTATCAGCAGTACTGTGTGTTTCCTGTACAAAAATAACATCTAGCTTTTTTAGAGAGCATAACTTAAAGAGAGAAGCCCTCTTCCCATCATCCCTTGCCCCATTTAAATTTAGGCTGCCTATACGTATGTCCCCCATAACATAGAGATGTAATAATACCACAGAAACAAAAGAGCCAAACAACAGAAGAAAAGAATGAGTCTGAAACTCATTCATCATCCTCCAACTGTTTTTTAACCTTTTGTACAAATTTCTTAATACGATAGGTTTCCTGGTCAGTGAAAGCTTTCTCTCCCAGGACTCCAGGAGTTCTCAGAAAAAACGTCACCGGGTCAAGAAAGAGCTGCAAATCAGGAAACGCTTTGTCCACTCTAACATTTCTAGCTCCCTTGGTGTCCTGTAAAAAAACTCTTGATACTTGTGTAACACGGGGGAAAGACCCGGATGATGACTGAGGGCGTGGCTCTAAAGCCACGCCTTCAGAATGAAGGGTTACTGGCAGTTCCTAGAGTCTTGAAAACTAGAATGGGCGCTAGAGCGTTCGGCTATCAGAGTCCTCTTTTGTGGAACCAGGTTCCAGTTTGGGTCCGGGAAGCAGACACCGTCTCTATATTTAAGAGTAGGCTTAAGACTTTCCTTTATGATAGAGCTTATAGTTAGAGTAAGTCCACCCCTGGTTGTGCTGCTATAGGCCTAGACTGCCGGGGGATGCATCATGATGCACCGAGCTCCCCTTTCCTTTCTCTCTCTCCCTCCCGGTGCAACCTCATTCCATTAACAATGTTACTAACTGGACTCTCTCCCTTCCCCGTAGTCGTGTGCTTTCTCGTCCCCCTTCTCTCTTCTCTCTCTTCCTAACACTTTCTGCAGATATTCCTGGCTCTGGAGCTGTGGGGTCTGGATCTGTGGTTGGGAGTCTCCTCCTATCACTTCCTGCAGGTGTTCCTAGAGCTGTGGAGTCTGGATCTGTGGTTGGGAGTTTCCTGCTGCCCCCATGTTCCTGCTCATCATTAGCATTAATATCATTGCCATTTTTAATCTATTCTACGTGTTGCTGTGTTGGCTGCCCCTCTCTGCTCCTTCTGTCCTTCTCTCGCCCTCTCTCTCTCTCTTGCTCTCTCTTTCCCCTCACCCCCAACCGGCCGAGGCAGATGGCCGCCCACCCTGAGCCATGGTTCTGCTCAAGGTTTCTGCCTGTTAAAAGTAAGTTTTTCCTTGCCTGTGTCGCCTAGTGCTTGCTCATGGTGGGAATTGTTGGGTTTCTGTAGTTAACTTCAGAGTAGGGTCTGACCTGCTCTGTTTGGAAAGCGCTGTGAGACAACTGTTGTTGTGATGTGGCGCTATATAAATAAAATTGAATTGAATTGAACTGGTAGACTACTAAAATATGCTCAAGTAGCCTAGAGTCTCCCAA